ATTAAAAACTAACACATGAGATTTTCCAGCAATGTTAGCTCCATCTTTGTCAGTGGTGAGTGAGTCCAGCAAATCCATTTCCATACTGGCAGGACTGGAATAACCTTTACGTGAGTGATAGACTGCTTCAGTAAAGACAACTGATTTTGATCCCTCAAGCACTTCAGAGGGCTGTGTTAGTCCAGTACCTTGAAAAACACAAATTTAAAAACAAATACAAGGACAGATCACAACATGCTGAATGCTAGACTGTTTGGGTTTTTTTCCTCAGCACATTCATGCTATCCAGTAAATAAGCATTTGGAATGTAATAATTTAAGTGTAGGAAGGGGAAAAAAGGCACAAATAGTAACAATCACCAAGGTCATTAATCTCCCCAAAGCTACCTGCCAGATCTTGGCAGTAGAAGCAACAGACTAGTTTTTTTGGAAAGGACACAAATACAGTACTGTGGTTTATTACTTCTCCAGATGTATTGGTTTGGCTCTACTTATATAGACCTAAGTGGCACACATTGTCCAGAAAGTAACTAAATACTTGAAAAACATGAAGTTCTCATGTCAGATAATGGGCTTTTAAAATAATCAAAGTTTTCATAGAGTTGTTACATATAACATCGTTGTCATAGTTTATTTTGCCCCCAGAGCAATAGAGGAAAAAAGAGAGGAGAAGAGCATGAACTAGAACATATTAAAAGAAAAACAAAACCCACAAACCATCTGCAAAAGTTAATGGGTTGATATAAAAAAATCTACGCAGTCGAAAGCCATTGCACCTGGATCTGCTTCTGCACAATTTCTTATGGTAAGAAGATTAAAGATGATTCCATCCATGGCACCCAGATAGCCTTAAACTAAATGTTCCAGCTGAAAGGAATGTTGAATATGAGAAGATGATATAAAAATCCATCAACAACAAATGTCAATGGCTGGCACAGAGCAAAACCACTGCTTGACCTGAGATTGGGGATTGGAGCTCTCAGACATGTGGAGCTTTCCAGAACGTAGCAAATAATCCCAGCCTCCCTTCTGTGATGATTCAGAAGGATTTCTTTGGAGGATCTGGGGTCATCTGCAGTATTTTCCAGTTCAACAATGAGAGAATCAAGGACCTGTTTGCATTCCTTAATGAAACGTTAATTACTTAGGAGGCTTCCCACAAGACCGCATCAGAAGCCAGAACTGTCTTCTCAATGAAATGATCTCCAAACCTCTCTCCATGGGTATGCTCCATAGGCATGTGTGCTTGTGTTTTGGAAATGTTGATTTGTCATTTTAAGTTTTAATGCAATTGCCAGACAGAACCATGATATATTGTAAGGTTAAGATAATGAACAACACGGCAATTTCAGGAAAGAACTTTTCTTAGCAGCATCATGAGTCACGTTCTCATTTAAAACAGGGCAACACCAAATATTTCATTTCGTGTGAGATCAACCCATATCAAAAGACAAAACAAAATACTTATTTTCATGCTGGGGAAGGTTTATGTTAAACTGTAACAACCTGGAGCAATTATTTGATGCATTTGATTGTACTTGTACTGCAAGGGTCATGGTTTTTCCCTCTGGTGACAGAGGCCTTCCTTAGTTTTGAACTGCCAGACACAGTTACTTCTGGAATTGAACATACAGCCCAATCCTGGAGTACAGATATCCCATATATGTAATTTTATTCAACAAATTTATCTTACTTTAAACTTTAAATCTTCAAAACTCATAAAGAAAGGAATACCCTCGAAAATATTGTTTATCTTCTTCCTTCCATTGCTTATAAAATTCTTTTCTCATCATCAGGCAAATTATTTAAGCCAATATTAAACTACTCTAATTCCAAAATCACAAAAATGAAAAAAAAAAAAAATTAAGCCACTAGGGACAGTTAGAAGAAAAGCTGGATAACATGAATCCTGTGGTGAGTTTAGCCCAAAGAACCTTTGTTTCTTCAGTAATTTTGAAAATATGCTCTTGAAGGATAAGAGGAACATTTTTGCTGTTGTGACAAAATATAACAAAAAACAGTACTGCTTCAGAAGGACTCAATAAAGCGGCTCCAAATTGATAATATTCTGAAGAAGTAAAACCTTTACCTCTGACTCCAGCAGAGATCAGATCTCCACTGTAACTTTGTTTTCTTTGGTGGATATTAATTCACTTGAAAATACAATATGTAGTTGGGATCTACATGATACAAGTTGACATAGTACCAGTATTTCCAGTTCAGGAGATTTTTGGCCATGACTGGTGTCCCTGAAAGGAGTGCAACTACCATAAACATCCAAATCTTGCCAAAGTTCATCACTTTATAGCTGCAGAAAATACTGAGTCTGAATACGATCATCCTAATCTCCCTTTCATGGTCTTCCAAAGGAATAGGGAACAGGCATGGGAATGAGAAGGAAAGGCTCCAGGATGTATTTCCAGCTGTAGATGGACGTGCCACTTCCCTTCTGCAGGGCCATGTGTGGGTGCATGGCTCTCCACACTCCTGACTCTGGAGCCTGCAGAGGCACCAGAGGAGCTTGAGTCCCTCTTCCAAGACAGGGAGTTCACTCAGAGGAGCCCACTGTCCAAAGGCACAGAAAAACCAAAAGGGAGGATGCAGGCAAAGTGCAAAACTCCTTCCCAGCCTCCCCAAAATAGATTTGTGTATCCTTTCACTGAGGTTCTGTGCTGTTACTTCAGCTCTTCCATAACCTTATTTATCAAATTTTCATCATTTTATAACAATAAATTTGTGTGCCAACCAGGAGGAACTGAAATTCATGAACTTCCCAGGCCCAGGTTCAGAACTGAAGTACATATTGTTTCTTCCCACTGTTGGAGACACACAGCTGCTCCTGTGTCAGCCAAAGCAGTGCTCAGACATCCAAGTCTGAGAGTTTATTTTTATCAGTCAGGAGGCCAACAGAGGCTTCACATGGGTTGGTTAGAATCCTACATTTGTTTGTATATTTTATCTGTATATCTCTCTATTACATATATATATGTGTATATATATATATGTGTGTGTATATATATGTTATACACATATATATATATATATATATATATACATACACACATAAATACATATATATACGTATATATATACATATATATGCATACACACACACACACACACACACACACACACACACACACACATATATATATATATATATATATATATATATATATATATATATATATATGATACATGCATCTCTTAAAGCAAAGTCAAATCTGTCATCAGCTGAATGTTTAATGCAGATGCATTACTTGCCTAGAAGAGAATCTGCACCAGGGAGTACTGTATACCAGCACAGTGCATTTTGTGCTTCGCTGCAAGATTATCTCACCTCCATTTCCCTTAAAAATCTTGGTAGAAGAAGAAATTAAGGGAGACAAACTGAACTGCGATGCTTAGGGAGTCCCTTGATTCTGCCTGTCACAGTTTTAAGCCTGCCTGGGGCCTCAGGGGAGTCTGGCTGTTCTCAATCCTCCTCTGCCAACCAGACAGTAACGGCCCAGTGCTTTTATTCATTACCCTGAATGTAATGCACTAAATTTAACAAGTAACACACTCAGCGGGAATTTATTGGCCTTTGCAGCATGATTGCAAGGTAGGATATGGATATGGATTCCAATTACTGCTGACACCCAGATAAGAGGAACAAAGCCCATATATGATTGTTATTAATCAAAGGTGATACCTGGTATTGCAAAGAAAAGAAAAACAAACGAAGAATAATTTTAAAATACTTAACTAAGTACTTTTTTCCTATCAAAATGTCAGTTGTTGCAAATAAAATGATGCTGGCATTTTCTAGCTAGGAATAATAAAAAGGATAAGCATATTGTGCAAAAATGGTCAGAAAGAAAATGTAAATAAAAAACTGCTATTGATTATAAAATGACATGCAGAAAACTCACATCCCAGGCTATGTAGTAAGCTGTGTAAAGCTTAAAAAAGAAATATGGCTGGTTCACAGCTACAGAAGTATTAATAATCACTAAACAAAATGAAAATTCTGTGTAATATACTCCAGAGAGCTGAGATTCGTATTCATCTGACAGTATTAAAAGATGAGATAGGAAGAAATTAATTTTTCTTATTCACATCTGGAGTTTAAATAGGTACAATATGAACGGGCAAAGAACAAGCCAAAGACCACTGCATCAAAATTCCAGAGACCAACAGATGTGAAACATATGTAATATCTCTCCCAAACCTCTCCCAGGTGTGCACAGAATCAAACCACTGAGTTATATGGGATTGCATTCATTTCATAACACTGAACCCCACAGCATCTTAAATACTATGGTCATTCAGAGCAGTGAGAAGCAAAGAATTTGGATTCATAGTGTTTGGAATTGTCATTCAGCTTGGACATAGGAGATGAAAGTCCTTTCCAAGTTGTCTAAACTGTTGAGGTCAGCAAAGTGGGACAAGACAGTTTATGAAGGTTCTCACTACTATTTCCAATATTCCGGCTGAACACATCAGATGACTATTTCCTAACAATTCCTTTCATTTTCTGGATAAATTACATTTCAAAATGACAGTGTTAAAAGGGATGAAAATTTCTGAAAGACACAACAGAAACATTTCTTGAAATGTAGTGAGTCTGCTATTCACTGACAGACTGCCTTATATGTCTATAACAGATGTTTTACTTAAAAAATTAATCAGAAAATGTGAAAATTATGTTGCAAATACCACAGTGGCCCTTCCTGGATCTATCCTAGAACTCTTTCCTGCTGCTTGAGAACCTTTTTATTTTGCAGTCTTTGTAAAAGGCAATGTATGTGCCCAGTGGGACCAGAACTGACACAGTAGCTGTCTCAAACAAACCATCACAAACTTTTCAGTGAGGCTTCCAGAAAGGAATTCAATGCAATGACTCGGAGAACAAGCTTAAAAGAACTTTGACAATTCTGTCTTTAACTAAAGATTTTATTCTACAAGACATCATTATCACATCATCTACATAAGACAAGGCAGATACATAAGACTTACAGCACATCTAACTGGGGTTAGACTTTCCTGGATGCTGCCTCCCATCTGTGAAAAGCAAGAGACCAGTTTTTGGTGACATTGAGAATTACATTTTCATCTCTATTGTGAGGAAAAATGCCATAAGCAGTGATCATCCAAGATATATAAATAAAATACAAGTTGTAAAAATTTATACATTTCATCAAATAAAGAGGGGAGAAAAATAATTTTAACAAAGGCCTTTACTTAGTGAAACAGAAAAGCAATCATGTTTTCTCACTGGTTTTTGCTACTTTCCTGGTATACGAAAGGGTTTTGAGAGTGGGTACAGCAGGAAGAAGAGAATAAATAGGAAATTTTAGGAAATAAAAGGAAATAAATTTTTTAGGAAATAAAACTTTTATTTTTAGGAAATAAAAGTTTTTTTAGACACATCCTATACACATTATATACTGTATATTATCTATCACATGACATTTGCTATTTATATATGAATGATATATTGTATGAGAGCATAAAATCATTTTTGCTGCGTTTAATGCTGTAAGGTTTTACTGATAAATATTGGATTGCATTTACACAGGATTTCAAACTGAGGGAAAGTCAGCTCAGTGATGCAGCCTTGGATATGAAACAGGCCTTTTACTTTTATTAATAGCTCTAGCATTTTCCTGCAATACATGAAGTTTTTCAGTGAGGCAGAAATGGAAACAGCTAAAATTTTGATTCATCAGAGCATGCAGCTACATTTACAAGTTTAAGCTTGAGATTAGTGCTCACCAGGGCTTTGTAAATAAGGACTTTACTAAGTAATGACTTAGTAAATACACTATTTCCCCAACATTGGCTTCAGAGATTACTTCTGTAGTCCTCCAGCTAAAATGCGTGCTGGTGTTTTACAGTCCTTGCTCACAGTAAAATAAATGCACAGAAGGTAAGGTTCTCTGATTGTCTATACATTGTTTTCCAAAGGACATGAAACTAATGTTGTTTCCTCGTATTGCAACTAAACCTTATATGAGGCAAAGCCCCACGGGTGGCAACAAATGTTGAAACTCCAGTCTTTTGTTCTCAAATGTTAATGACAAAAATCCAACAACATTTTCCGAAAAAGATTACAATTTAAAATGGTAATGGTACATTTGTCTCAAGAGAATTTGTATTCTGTATGCAAACCAATCAAGATATGGTAAAAGGATTTAGAGAGGCATCACAGCTGAATGGATAAAATCCTGGGAACAAAGAATGGTACCTGCATACAGGAGACAGCTGGCAATACCCATCAGTGGATTCTCTTTATTCTTGCAAATAAAAAACCATCTAAATTCTGACAGTTTCTGCTATATGTGACCAGTTTTATTCACACCACACTGTCAAGGAAGTCACTCTGTCCTCCATATTTTTGCTAGCCCATACCAGGGATGTGTATTAGATCCAGACCCTTCTGATTGGAATAAAAATCACCCAAATGTGGATCAGGTTGATAACTCTAATGTAAAATATTATCTTCTCCTTCCCCCACCCAGCCCCGAATTTCTCACAATGCTTTTAACACACTAATCCTTAAGAATCATTTAAGCAATATGAGCAGGAGAAGGCATCACACTGGAAGGGAATAATTTCATGCCTCAGATGTGTTGTGAAGCATGAGGATGAAGAATAAGTGACTTCAGTCACCTGAGAAGTGCAATGATTCCCAGAAATGCAATGCCTAAAGTATCTTTTTGCTATTATTTCATGGGAATTATTTTAGAAACGGTCAAAAAGAATTATTAGATTTGAGTGATTAAAGTGACAACCATACAGCTTGTAATTCACTTTTTAATAAATAAGTTCTCTCATCATGCTTTTAAAAATAAAGTGTATATTTTAAAATTTAAAAAGTACATCCTTGCTCAGGTGAACTTCCACCCTGGCCAAGGTCTGCTACATGAGCTGGGAAAACAGTGTTTAGGCCCCTCTACCTACATGAAGAGACTTTCATGATGATGTTTATCCAAACCCAAAGAAAGCATCACCATTGGGAAGTGTCCATTTTCCCTTCCTCTGAGTGATTCTTCTGCCACAGTCTTCCTTGGTTTAGGAATGCTGAAAAAGTAAACATGTTCTGCACCACTGTATAGGCAAGGGATGTCAGTGCTCTCTGGGTCAAGCATCTGTTTTGGTGTGGAGCACATATCTCATTTTATTCTAAGTTTTGTTGGAGCTTTTGTCACAATTTTGTTTCTTTCACCGTGAAAAATCACTTCTATTCTTCAGGGTTGAAAAAAATGGTATTTTCTTTGTGTAGATTTAATTTTTAATAAAAAAAGAGGTTTCAGAAAACCTGTAAAATAAAAAATTTAAAAATTCATCTTTCATTACATGGATAACAACCTACAGTTCTGTTTGTGGAGGCATCATCTCATGGATTCTACAAGGAAAATTATCAAGCATTGAATGGAAACAACACTTTGGTTTTGGAAAAAATATATCATCTTTCTTTTGAAAAGAATTGAGCTGTAGCTAATTTTTACAGTTATATCATAAATTTAAAGTTATATCATTAATTTAAAGTTGAATCTTTAAAGAGCACACTCCTACTCTCATTCTTGGTATATGTTGTAATTTGACTGTACTAGATACTGTGAAACATTTTCTTTCTTATTTATGTCATTTTATGTTTCTTTAATGGCATGATACTAGGGGATTTTTTATTTGTCCGATAACATAAGGGAAAAAAAGTTAAATATTTAAAGAGCCAGAGGAAAAGAAAAGACATTCCAGATTTTAAACCAGAATATTTCTTACTCTTGTTAGTTTTTTATGGCTCTGAGGAACTCATCAGAGTATCCTGAAACACTTCTGACGTTGCTATCACAATGAACTATTTAAATTAAGGGATTTATTTTTGCTCCTCTGGTCTAGTACCACATACAGGTAAAATGTGATAAGAAGTCAAGAGGATGAGGCACATTTGAGGAAGTATTCTCACAGCCTGCTCAAGGTACATAATACAGACATGACTCTGTGTAACTCAGTTTAGCAGTCAACATCCAGCACAGAGGCAATAATGTATAGAGCCACATTCTGTCAGAGGGTAGTAAAGAAGGTTAGTTAGTTCTAAATAACAAAGTATTACATTCAAGCTAAGTTTACAGGGCATTTACTGATTGCTAAAATGCATGAAATTCTGTAATTTCCTCTTTCTAGCCTGAACTTCTGCCGGTGTTCCACTTCAGCAATTGTTCTGGGAATAAAGAGAAATGAGTGTGTTGGTCTCAGCACCCGAAAGCAGGAGAGATCTTGCAAGTGTTTGTCTTTCACATTAGAAAGGATCAGCTATGGAAGGACTTTGGGGGCTCAGAAGGACTTGACAGATTTGCATCCTCAAGAAAACACCAATTTGCTGCCAGTTGTAAACAATATATACTGGGGTGGGTAGTGGGCTTAATTACCTAGAATAAAATTTCTCACTTTAAGTAGTCAAACCGGTAATCATGAAATCATTTTCTCTTAGTCATCATCTTCCTTGTGCCCCTCCCTGCCTTCCCTGTGATCTGGTTTACATGCCCTCATTTGCAAATATTTTTGGGACAATGTCAGGTTGCTTTAGGCCAAACAATAAGATTTCTTATCTATTTTTATAAAATGTAATCCCACTGGCAATGTTGGCTTGATTTCTCTAATGGTTACAATGAAAACAGTGTTTCATTTGGCTTTAAAACCGTGATCACAGATGAAACATTACAGGACTATGCCAGAATATGAGGGCCAGGCACCGAAACCAACTCTAAACAAAAACTGAAACTATGTAGTCTGTATTTTCATTATGAAATATGAAAAAAAAAAAAAAAAAAAAAAAGGTGTGGGGGGGGGGGGGGGGAAATAACCATAAAAGTTGCTTATATAAAGAACTAAATTTATTATATAGCAATATACAACTGGTATATTGTAACATGCTGCTGCTGTGGTATCAACTAGAGCTGTGGGGTCCCAGATGGGGTAATGTTCATTAACACCCAGCAGCTGGATAATTTATCAGCCAACCAGCACGTGGAGTTTCTCTCCCATCTTCTGCAATTCATGGGGGACCCTCCCCTCCAGCCCACTCCCACTCTGAGTTTAACCCCACAGCAAAACTTTTATGCTATTGTTGCCAGGATGTCTAATTCACACTAAATATCCTAATCAAGAAATACCTCAAGGGCCTTTTTGTGACAGTTTTGGTTATACATGTGTGCTAAATCTGCAGCTTTCGGCATTATCTTCAGTAAGAAGTCACCATCTCTAGTTCATGAAATGCCATTTTCTTTGTTCTGTATAATAGACAGGTTTCAAACATTATCAACAAACACAGGCTGGGAGATTAGCTCAGAAGGACACGTTCCACAGAGGCAAGATTCTCCTTCTACATGTTGACCTTCTAATCAAGTGACCTCAGCACAAAAAAGTTTGGTGGGGAAAGGGGAGGGAAGCTGAGAAGAAGTGTCCACCCTGCCATAGCACGCACAGAGGATATCCTGTATACAAGAACCCTGTGCTGGATAGTGCTTGCAAAGCTTTGGGAGAGAAACCTGCTTTGCTCTTTTAAGGGTATGAAAAGCCTGTCTTATCCCATGGCCAAATTATGCAAATATCTGTTAGTGAAATCTCATGAACTATCCCTTCCATCAGTAGTTTTAATTGCAAGTTTTTCATACACAGGAGAGGGGTTTATATCCTGCCTTGAAATCACTAAAACTGCAAGACCATGTTACACTGCATGTAAACGTTGGGAAAGAGCACATTTGAAAACTGAAGAAAATGGTGGATCTTCCTCCTTCTCCAGCCTGATTTTCTGAACTGAAATGTCCATGTGATGTGGTGCTGCTCTGCCTGCACCCACCCTGGGGCATGGGTGCTAGGCACTGATGTATTTATTCCAGTGGCAGATGCCCAGAGCCTTGAGTCTGGACCCTCGTTTTTCCCAAGAAGAAAAGGAAAATCAGGGAGGTACTTAAAGAAACAATATGTCAGTTCTTTGTAGCTTTGCTCCCTCGCTGCAGGTACCAGCCTAAGACGGAGCGCTGTGCGCTAAAACAGACCGCTCGTAAATATTTCATATTCATGAGACAAGCAAAAAAGGCCTGTCACCACCCTGCGCATTTCTATTATTTAAAGGGTCACTAATCAAGCAGTGAACTTACCTTTCCGACAAATCTCCATACCAGACAATCAATATTCATCTGGTGCTAGCGATACCCTTTCCCCACCCGCCCAGCAAGGGGGTGCGAGCTGGACTGTCCTCCTCCTCCTCCCTGGGGATTAACACAGCCTGGGCAACCAGCCCTGAGGACCTGGGAGGGTGTGCTGCGTCCAGCACCCCCGGGAAAGGGTTTGGAATTGTCGCCATCCACTGCAGTGGGTACAGTAGTGGCGGGACTAGGAAGGGTTAAAGTTTTGTCTGTGACACTGAAATTGAGGCCAGCTGTAGGTCATATTCATGTCCCAGTCACAGGAAAATGAACCTGTGAGACAGAACCTAATTATCTGCTAAACCAAAAGCCAGTCTCAGTTCAATAACTTACGACAGAGCTGGCAGCCAGATATAGTGTTGTCATGGTAACGCCAAAAAAAAAAAATCCACTGCAGTAGAGAACAAGAAGGAAAAGAAGGAGACTGTAACCCTGAATATGCTGTAGCCATTTGATCTTGGACAAGTAGATATGTCTAAAGAGCCAGATTGCTACAACTGTCTATCCACTTTAATATCCTCTATAATTACTGAAATGAAAAATGCAATTACAGTGTGCTCTGAGCTAAAAACCAGGAATAACTGGCTAACTGGGAATTCATTTTAGAGGGAACAATATCGGTTTCTTTCCCCCCTCAACACACATGGGCTGAGAAGTATGTGGGGGCTGGAGAGCAGAGCCGCCTGCTTCCTGCTAGTCCAAAATCACTGCATGCCAATCAAACCCTTGCTTTTCCCTGCCACGTTCCCCTCCTCCCTCTTCCATCCACAATCCATTACAGACAAGGGAAAAGTTCAGTAGAGCAAAGCACTAAAGATCTCGCTTTGTGGACTGCCATGTCTGAACTACATGAAGTTAAGGGTGACATGAGTTTACAGCTCACACAAAACCATCCTGAGCATGGCCCCTTACACAAGGACACACATTAAGTCAGCTGTCCCTGATGGAACCATGCTCCTGGGAGCCAGGGGGTGAGGAATCCTGTCCTCCCAGCATGCTCCTACTGGAGCTGAGCACAGCATCCTCAAGCAGAGCTGGTGCTGAGAATGGGGCTGTTTCCAGCTGAATCCCCTCAGGTAGCAAAACAAAAGACATAATCCTTGGATTGCTCACCAAGCTGGCCGGGCACATGGACACAGACCATCAGCACCCTGCTCTGCCAGGCCCCTCAGCACAGCTGAGAAAATTTACAACAAATCAGACACAAGTACACACCAAACAAAAAATCGAATTGTGCTTTGAAATATATATTCAAAAAGTCATATATCTATGCATATATATGTGTGTGCACATATTGTTTACTGTTGTGAGGACCAAAAAACCTATCTCTGTTCATTTTGGTCAGAGATGTAGATTTGATGTTGGAAAGATCAGCAGTGATTCTGTGAAAGAACATTATACCTGTTTATGTGTATTAAAGACAGAGACATTAATGAGACACCATGGTTAGAAGTACAATTAAAGCAAATAAGCTATTTATTTGACACTTCTGTATCAGTGTTTCCAGCTTGCTGGAAGAGCTCTCTGTGCTTCTCAGAGCAGCTTGCTGAACAGTGAGACTTCACTCCCAGATGCTGGAAACTGCATGGTTTCAGGCTCTCACATAGGCATGCTATTCAGACTCTAAATGTTCTTGCCATTACTAATTGCATAAGAGACTTCTGAAAAAATGGCAGTATTTCAGATGGTTAAATCAGAGATTTCAGATAGCAAAATTATTTCCAAAATTTGATCAGGAAATGTTATTGTCCTTATATTTTTACTGTGCACAGGCTTTCTTTCTTCTGACTGGGCAACTGAAGACCAGATTTGGCAGTTCTTTTCCAGGAAAAAAAGCTCTTACTCTACCAATAATGGTGTCTGAATAAAAATTACTAATTTAAATGTGGCACCTTCTGGAGAAACAGATCTACAAGTGATATATAAGTGATACACCTTACATATCACTCACCAATTCACAATGCTGTGTATGTGTAACTAAAAAAAAAAAAGAAAGTTAATTCAACAGCATGTTATTGGCATTCTAGCTTTTTAAATAAAATATGCAAAAAACACCCAAAAAACCAACCTAAACTCCACAAAAATCCACAGGCAACACATCATGTAGATTTTCATGTCTCTGTATAGTTTGAGACTGGCATCCTGATCTTGTAAATACTTACCTTTAGTACCCACTCCAATGAGTAGTTCTGTTGAGGTAGTAGAGGTGTCTGGTATCTACAGAGAAGTGGAGCATGACCTTTCTACACCTGCACAGTTTTTGTCAGCAGTAATGCAGATCAAATGATGCCCATAGCAATATTTTCAATCAGCCAGCCTGACACTTGGCATGTGTGAGGGCTCCTAAGGTCTGTGGGTCTAAACCTGATTATGGCGGTCATTAATTTGGCCTGATTTACATCATGGAAAATATGAACGACCTCATGCTTTTCTTTCACTGATCTCTGTGTTTCTGAAATGCTAGCAACTTGCTCCTCTATCAGTCTGAAAATAGTGCTTAGTCTTTTTAAATTATAAAAAGGATTTTTAGGAAAATATCTTCTGGAAATTTGCTTTAATACACCAGTTTGCAGCCTTCAAGGAACCTATGTAAGCTGATAACTCATTTTTGAGAGAAATTTATCAAAGAGGCCTCTGAATCTTTTCTGCAAGGAACACTCTCACAGGAAGGTAAGAGGCATGAAAATAAAGCAAAAGAAGAGAGAAATTAATGAGAAAATGTTAACTGCTTCAGCATAGGGAACAGAAATTCCACTTCTATTTAAAAAATTGCAATGAAAAAGACCCTGGTCATCACACACAGTAAAAGGAAAAAAGTCTGGATTTTGCCACTGAAATGTGTTTTGTTTTTCACCTGAGCCTGAAGTCATTCTGAGATAGCACTTCCAAAAAGAGTGGACTGCCCTTTCCCTCTCTCTTACAGGGATCTGCTGAGGCGAGACGGGCTTGTCCTGGGGATGGAGCAAAGGGGAGTCCCAGTGTGGGTCTAGAGAACCTCTGTGCAGCAGAGCTGCCTCTGCTCACTCTGAGTCTGACAGGGACACTAGCAGGGCTGGAGCTTTTTCAGGAAAGAGGTACCCACCCAACCTGGGATGTTGGCAGCACATTTATCACTAACAAATCCCTGGACTGTACACTTTAAGCTGCTTGTTGTCGTTATGAAAGGGGTTAGCTAGAGTACCGATATGTTTACACAGCTGAAATCCAAACGTGTGCCTCAGTTGGTGTCCTGACATTTGTTGAAAACAGGCCAAAAAGAGACCAATTAATGAAAAATGAGAGCACAATTTTGTAATGGCAGAAGCATTACAGACAGCTATTGGTTAAAAAGTCTACCTTTTAACATCAACGTTAAAAAATAAATAAAGAAGAAATTAAAGAAAGAGAAATCATGACCTGACCATTATGGCAGTAACTGTGGTCAAATGCTGTCTTGTATGAAGCTGTATGAAACTGCAGCTTTCATAAATCTGTGCTGCACAAAGTATCCACTGACATATTTTATTAATCTGTGCTTGCATCCAACCTCCTTAAAATATAAACTCAGAAAATCAAAGCTGGTAGTAAAAGTCACAACTGAGTATTTCAAGGCAGCATTTTAATTTTCTGAACAAAATACATAGTTTGTGAAGTTCTTGAGTACAATGGAACAGGACAGGTAACACAGGACTTGACATATGTGTTAAATGTCTGTTGCCTTTTGTGATGACTTGAAGCATCTGAGACATCAATGTCAGGCTGGTGGATATGTCACACAGTTCCAGTGGACTTGACATCTTTGGGAGACCCAGTAGGATACCCTAAAGCAAGTGGCAGCTGTAACTTTATATTTTCTAAATATTTATAATGACTTATGGCTTCTCCTAAGTCCCAAGCACTAAATTTTAGTCAGGCCTGAAAGAAATACCAAATAACCTCATGAATCCATTTTGATTTGTCTCATCAGCTGGGTTGTAATATGCCTTAATATACTGGCATTGTACTGCAGAGTGTACTTGATCTAATCCCCCTAAAACAAGCACTTACTATTAGATGCTAAATTTTGTTCTAGAAATGTGAACTCAATCACTATATTAAAAAGTGAGAATTGTGAATTACTTCAGGTAGAGTCTTTAGTAATACCATACAGTTTACAAATTGTGATGCTATAGTTACTTTAAAAAATCACATATAGTTGACATAAATCATCCAATAAAGCTGTTATATTAAAAGCTAAAATCACTGTTTAAACTAAGCAGTTAATATTTAAACTCATGTTCCATTAAAAAATACGCCAAGATAGTTTGCATCATGTTAAATGATACACAGTGAGGCCACTTGATTTGTTTCTATTTTTGTTGCAGTTTTTAGATCCTGAGCAAAGCAGCTAAATATTATATTTCTTTGGTTCAGTCTAAACAGAACCTTTCAGTCTTGGAATATAGACAGTTTAGACTCTTTTTCCAGAGCTAGAATTCTACTTTGGCGCAGTAGTATTCAATATAAACTTCTCATCTTGTCCTTAAAACCCATGAGTTGGTAGACATGATGTTCTGACAAGGGAAATGCTTTCCAGGGCTCATTACACTATCCCCCATGTAATTTGGGAATATGTTAATCACAGAAGGATTCAGCTCATAGTATGGAGCTTTCAGAGAGTGGAAGTAGTTTTGAGTAAGTTTCTTGTAAGGATGGTAGCCAATATCTTCAAAATGTTTAAATTTGATGGTGACATCTTAGCAGCCAAAGCCAAAGGTTCCCCTTGACTTTAACAAGGCAAAATCATTCCTTTATGGAAACTACAAGGTTGGGAGATGTCTCTGTCTTCCAGGACATGCTTTAAACTGATAAAAACAGCCATCAGAACATCACAGCGCCAAATGTCACAGTTCTGATTTAATCCTCCTTTAAATCTCTCCATTGTACAGAACAGTGTGTGGCTGGAGAAGTTTGCCAATAGGCTACATGTATCAGAAAAAAACTTTGGCCCCAGGTAAAATCTGTCATATGACTAAACATTAGAAATTCTCCCTGACAAGAAAACACTTGGTGACAAATTAGGTGAGCATAATGATGCAGGTTACACAGGGGCACTGCACCTTGGAAAACCATGCAAACCTCTTACACACGGCTCTGACATTTTCTTAGTCTTCCTTGGATGCAATTGAATCTGCAGAACATAGAGATATTTGTAATCAAGGATATTTGTAATCATTGTTATCACACCAAAAAGATTCAGAAAATTAAAGCAGAAGTAATTAACACATGCACAAAAAAAAAAGAAAAATTGTGCCAAGGGTGCTTAAATAGGTTGGTACCAGCTATTAGTCACTGTATTGAATTCCACAGGAGACAGGCAAAAAAACCCCAAACCACAACAGAGAAGTATCACTTTACTTGTCCTGATCTTATCCTTTTCCTTGGGCATGTCCTAGTGGCTATTGTCAGAGGAAAAGGATTCTGGGCTAAATGCTAGCAATTTGCTAGATTGTTAGCATTTCTCTCCACACCAGATGTGTTTTATCAAGATGTGCTTTGATAAAGCCCACGGACAGTGTCTAGACACAGCACATAGCTAAGGCCTTTGGAAGTCATTTGATGCACTGGGTCTGTGTTATATATGCATGGTTTTAATGAGCTTCTTACAGGTTTTCCAGGAATACTGTGCAGCAGGCAAGAGACGCACAAAGAGAGAAAAATCCTTACTTTTGATTTCACACCTGTTGCTATAGATACCACAACGTGTTTCACTCTATCCTGTTTAAGGGGCTTAAACATGGAATGGCCATCAGATATTTTTAATCCTCTGTATGCTAAGGATGCTTTTCCTTTCTCAGTTTCACACAGGAATGCATCTGTTGGCAAATTTAGGCACAGCTTACTCACTGGCTTAGATTCTCACACATGCATTACCTTACACCACCTTCCTTTTTTTAACCAGTGTCCTCTAGATGATTTTGTTTTGCCATGTAAGAATACTGAAATTTTGCAGATCATGATAGGTCCTTGTGAAACTATTGGAAAGAACATTTCAGGCTCAGTTTTGGACCTTCAGTCACTGGAGGTCTGATGCCACCTCAAAACCTTCACCTTGGTCAGTGGCTTTGCTCCAAAAGGGGTTTTGTGCTATGTATCAGAGCAGTCAGAGTGAAGGACGCTTGGGATCATATTTACTTACATTTGTTAGTGCAGCAGTTCCATGGGTACTACAGTCACTAAGCTCATTCCCCTCCCTTGTCTAAATTGTCTTTACAGTGCATTCTTACCACCCAGGCAAAAGAAAAAAAAATAAAATCAAAGTAGAAAAAGCCACTTTATTCAATTTGCTTGGGGTTTACTTTTGTCTCTTCAAATAATAAAAATTTTATCTCTTCAAATAATAAACAATGCAGCTGAAATTTTTAGAATTTCTGGGCCATTTTTGCTACAGAAAGGCTGTTACAAGCAAGAAAATTTATTGCACAATGGGAAGTCCTGTTTTGCCAATACTGCCAATACTGTCACTTTGGAGCACCCCATGGGAATTCACGTGAAGAGAGCAGACCTGTGACATCGCATGCTCTGAGCTTGCCTTTTCATCCTTCCAGTGCAGGACAGCTACTCTATTTGGAGGTGGGAAAAAAGAGCTGTGCCCATCACCCTCAGCAGGCTGTCAGAAAAGGTGGTTACTTTCGCAGTGGTACCAGGTCCTGTGATGCACTGCACACACATGTATTTCTGTAATTTTAAACTTTATGTGGGAAACCAGAGTCATTGTATAGAGCAACTAATCCTCCAACAAAATAATGGAAATTCTGAATAAGACACACACACAAAAAAAGAACAAGACCATATTTGGAGTATCCCAAGATTTGTGAAATGAAATTGATTTCCATTCAAATCAGGTCTTTTACTCTTCTTGAAAATGTCAGGGTGTCAGCTCTGGCCATTACCAGACTGTGATTTATAGTTGAGGCAGAGCAATAATACTCAGGTGACTGTCTGGAACTGTACTGCTGTGTCTGGAAAGGCTACAGATGACAGCTTCCTCCTTTCTTAACCAACTTGCATTGCTTATCTAAGATCAGTCTTCCCCCCATCCCTCCTCCCCAAACACATGATAGGAAAATGATAAAATGTATAGGCTTGCAGATTTACTGAGATCAGACAAATAAGCCTTGTGAAGGGACTAGGTTACAGAATTTTGGAGAAACATATTAAAAATAATCCTTTAGCTAGCTATATCCCAGCTGTTTGGATGGATACCTGTAAATGTGAGACTGATTGCCTGGCTTCAACACATGGGTATGTTTTAATCCATCTGTAGGATCTATTTCTGTAACTCGAGCATACAAGAAGCACAGAATATGCTGAAACTAAGCAAGCTTTCAAATAATAAGAATAATACAGCTGCTGTCATTTCCTTCTGAAATTAAACACAATTTATTCAATAAATAGATTAATGGAGGTCAAAACCTACCTGGTTAATAATTACTCAAACACCGATAAGTTAATTCTGTTATTTCTCCCATTGACATAAGGTTTTTCCTAAATAATGGCAACAGAAGTACTTAACAGTTTAGGTGATAAACTCCTACTAATTTTAACTGGAATTGGGAGCTTTTAAATACCTAAAAAAAGACTTTTCCAAATCATTTTCTCTCTTTATTCCTTTAGCTATGCTTGTGATCTCAGTATAGTGAAGCAAAGAAGAGAATAAACAAGATAAATGAGTAAGTCAAACAAAAGAAGAATACTAGCAAGCTAATATTCCTGACATCAGCTCTCTCATTCTGCTATTAGTATTTGCAGAAGATATTGACAAAATGGGAAAGACTCAAACAAGAACAAGCAAAATGATCTGATCTTCCCAAAAATCTTAGAGTAAGACAATGAAGATAATCCTATTAGTTTTTCACTGAAAATCCTAAGAGGGGGAAGGAAGCAAATGACCATTTATATTGTCAGGAAAATTAAAAAAGATAGCTGGAAACTAATGCTAACCAAGTTCTAATTAGAAATAAAGCCTATGTTTTTAATATTGATGTAATAGACTACTGGGAGACTGTTCCAGGACGTTATTATGGATTCTCTGCCATCCCAAATCCTAAATATACATGCTAACCAAACAGAAATTGTTGGTGTTGACGTGGGAGTTGCTTGGTGAATGCTTTGGCATGTTTTATGGAGGAAGTCAGACTGGATGATTGAGTTTGCCTTGGCAGAGGACAGGATATTTCTGTGTGTGTGGGAGGAGGGAGGGGAGGAGAGCAAGGGGAGGGAAAAGGAGGGAAAGAAAGAAGGAGATGCCTGGATGTATTTCTAGCCTAGCCCATGTTAGGTGCAAGTAGTACCAAGTTTCCTGGTCTAGTGAATGGCACATGGTATCTGGAAGCAGACAGCATATAGGAAGGCATCCATGGCATTCATGGGTGGCATTCATCCACAGGTTTTACCACAAACAGAAGAACATTTAAGTCCTCTCAGAAGACTACTGCAGGTATTAAGTTCTGCTGTCATTTTGTAATCCAAGCTGAAGGATTTTTTTCACCATGGTAAAATCACACAGAATTGAGACACATACATTAGACTGATTTATACAATAATGATGAGCCAGGGACTCTCTGTGGAGCTCCTCCTTTCCATTTTTTTCTTATTTGCTTTTGCAGAAGATCATTTGGACCATTAAAAATATCAATCTGAAAGAAGTAAATGTGCATATCAAAACTAGTCTGAAGAGTTTCAATGGAGACAAGTTGAATATTGGGATCTGAGATCCCACAGCTAGTTCAGATGCAACCCTCTCTTTTCAAACACTGCAATAAGTTACTGTCAACAACTGAAGGACAAACAGCAGAAACAAGGTGGTAAAAGAAATTTATAAAATATTGCCTCACACTGCCACACTAAATCATGACCTCCTGCTTTGCTAATATTTGCTTTATACTGAGGTCTCAGAGCTCTAATAATACTCAAGGTCTCCCTGTGACAGTCACTGTGCTCCCATTAGTGAGTGGTGTTCCCCACGTGAAAAAGCCACAGCCTACCCTGACAGCATGGGAAAATGGCAGGGAAGGAAAGTAAAGGCTCAAGGGAACTTGTCTGCATTCATGATGGGTGCCAGGAAGTGACCCTAAATCTTTAGCCATCGATGCAGCAAAAAGGAGCACGTAGGCAGCAGTTTGGAAACATTTCAAAGGGCTTTAAAGTGTTAGTTATTGCATGTAGTAATTTTGATTTCCCACTAGCATTTAGGGAATGATTACCAAATTTCAGAAAGCCAAGCTGCAGTCCTTGGAATTTATTAACTCATAAAAGCCTACCAAAACTCAACACTCAGATACTGGCAACACCCACAAGAAATCTAACCCTCTGAGTCAGCCAGGAGAGGTTTCCAATGCTGCACTGCTAACCTGCTTCACTTCTAAACATCCAGTCATTGTTTAAAAATCAGGTGCCTCAATGGGTCTTAAAACATCAATATTTTGACCATACTCCTCTATTTCAAAAGGAGACATAAGTTTGAGAATTAAGATCCAAAATAATATGCCAACATAATAAACAACAGAAAAGCACGGTCTACTATGTTTATTTAAAATGTCACAATAAATCTAGCTCCCTGAATACCCCAGTGTGTGTATATAAATAACATCAGCAAGAACTATAAGCACTGTGTATCCTCAGACTTGTGACAAATCTTCCCAACAGAGGGATGAACCCTGTGCTTGCAGTGGAAAGCTATAAATCCCACCACAAAATGGCTGTACCGGCCATCTCATGTGCCGGGTTTGCTGAATGCTGATTCCTGTGCTGCTGGGACACCATGCCATAGGAAGGGACAGGTGCAGTGCCTGGATTAGGCAGAAGCTACCTCTGCTGAACAGAGGAGCAGAAAATTATCCCATAGCCTGCTTTTCCCAAATCACAGTTGTTTATTCTGATGTTCCATAAATGAACCTCCATTCTGATTGTGCAGAGATCAGGACTATCATGCCATTCTTCAAAAGAAAAGGATAAAAAAGATCTTTTTTTTGAAAACTGCAACCAACAGCCTAATATCTTATGTCTGACTGCTGGTTGTTTTTGAATGGGGCCAAGGGAGGAAATGCAGAGTCTGCAAAAATGTACAAGTAGAGGCAATTTATACGTCCTTCATGTTCAGGATGAAGAACCACTGTGGAGAGAAATGCAAACAGTGGGAGAAAGGCTGATTTAAACTCCTAGGAGAACAAAGCCTGCTTCTTGTAGAGCCTTACAGTAGGGCTACGGAAGGGGCTGAAACAAAGAGATGAAGAGAAGAAGCAGAGAGGTTATTTTTATTAATACTTACTCACTCGTAAGATTCTATTTCACAGAATAACTTTGGCAGAAGAAAATCAACTACCTTGTCCAATTCTCTGGTGTACCTACACCCATGTGGACAGAAACATTTTAGTACTAGAGTGAGAGGATCCCACAATCAGATTTTTCAAGACACAAAATTTTCCCCATACACTTCAAAGGGAGTTTGCAGAGCAGATATAAACTGGATAAACAGAATCTACTTCTTTATGCATTGGAGGCACTCCATCTAATTTATTGTCATCGGATGGAAATGCTTCAAGCAAAGGGATGCACTATGAAGAAATGCATTCTACTAGGAAAGGCTTGAGTTTGAAATTAAATCCTGTGCTAAACTTTTCAAGAAATATCTACCTTCACTGAAGTCTTTTCATACCCCTGCTTATTTCTACTTTAAACTTCTCATTTATTGTACTTTAAGCCCCATCAGTGAATGTAAATGGGGCTTCACTATACGTTTAGTGCATTCAAGCATTCTTTGTTACAGTTCCCACCCTGCCGCATTATGTGAGCTCTGCCACGGAAGTCCAGCAGTCGGTTTGTTTTCTGCTATTAATAAAAGAACCTACTTTTCCGCACTTCTTTGAAGAAGTTGAAAGGGCTGCATGTTAGAGGGGGAGGTGGTGGGGAACAGACTGTGGTGTAATCCCCAAAAGCAAATGCTGTCTAGATTAGAAACCTCCCTGAAGAAAATTTACAAATGCTAAGACTGTGCTTTTTGTGTGATGAACACTAGAGTAATAACTTAGCCACATACTGGATTCTGCCTAATGCTAAGGGAGACTACTAGGTGAAAGGAATTAAATGAAAAATAAAATCTTCCAGTTGGCTCTGTGCCGATGCCATCCAACCCTTTTGATATCAAGTGACTTACTAATGCAGCTATTTTCATGTGTATTTCATCACTGAGGTATCTTAATATAATATTTAGGAATCTCTTAAAATAATAATAACAAAAACACAAATGGGATTTACACATTGCCAGTGTTTTTACATAGTCCAGGAAAAGCTTAATTAAAGGGGTGGGACGTGTCTCTGCTGAATAGCTGTTTTTCCTTCATACCTTCCCATGCATGACACGTACACATCCAAGAAAAGAAGTTGGGGGTGGTGGTGGTGGAAGAAAACCACCCAAAACCAAAACCAAAATTACCAGCCCTAAACTACTCAGCACAACCTTGTTGATTTGCTTGGCCATTTAAATAAATGAACATGCTTCTTTGTAGAGAATCACGGCCCCAGTGCAACAGCTAACAAGTAAAAGAAAAGTACAGAATATTGTCAGCTTTGTTTCCTATAGAATACTCATATTGCTCAAACTATCATTACCAAATCTAGTTTATCCCACAATTACACCTAATCCTTAACTCCTAAATAAGTAGGAACAGGCATAAAGATTGAAATTCTGAAAGCCTACCAAATAAACTTTAGTCTACAGTCAACTGGAAGTTTCTGCGATTAATTTTAAATCCTACTTAATAGGTTAAAGATGTTTTTAAGGATGACATAATTTTATCAGTGTTGATTTTATTAATCTGATGTTCAATTGCTCTCTAAGGCTTCCATCCACTTGTTGCTACCCAGGCACTGCAAGTGAAGCTCATCAATCAATTGAGCTGGATTCTGGTCAGAATATAACTCCTCATAAGAATCATCCTAGTGTTGCCAAGCAGTGCAGCAACACAGCATCCAACAAACTTGGAAGATGCCTATTGTAATTGTCAAACAATGAAAAAACTTAACAAGGTGATGAATGCCTCAGATACATTGTTTGGACAAAACCACTTTAAATTAATGTAGTAAAACAAATCAACTTTTAATTGAGTGATACAGTTTCAGCTGGCATTTTTATAGTATTACAGATCTATTTTTTCTATTGTGTGACTATCTAGCTAGTTATAGACTTTAGACTGAGATGGCAGTCATTCTTTCTTTTTTTTTTTTATGGGTTTTTTTTTTTTTTTTTTTGTAGGCTACAGTTGGTCCCTTAGAGGAGATGACTGCTTTTCAGTGTGAAATTATGTACCTAGTCAGGAATTGAGCATAATCATCACACGGGTGAATCAAAATGACGGCTACATTTACTGCCTACAGAAATTTCTGCTGCACTGCATATTAACACACTGAAAATGTTGTGTTAGCTTATCGTGGATGTGCTGATTTTCGTTACCCACGGAAATGCAGAACATCTTCTGTTAAACCTCATTGACATTTTTCATCAAGTGAATAGAGCAATGCCCTGAAATGTGATAAGTGTAGATTCTTGTTATACAACTTCAAGTAAAATATTCTTCCCTCTAATTCCAACAGTAATTAACTTGGATTGGAATTCCCTTGACTCGTGTAGCAGTCTTCAACACTGTATTAATGGATCTTAGAGTTTATATGGTTGGAAAAGAAATCTTGTCCCATATATGTAATACTATACAAAGGTGCTAAAGGCTTTCAGGTTAATGAAAAGAATTTATCAAATCACGCCAGCTTGAGCTATGAGGTTTTTTTTTTTGCATTGTTTGGCTGAAAGATTAAATGGTATATTTCTGAAACTTAAAATGCCTCAAAAATGAAGCTCCAGAAAATTGTTGCATCTCCAATGAAGACTAAAAATTAAAGTAGACAATTATCATAATAATAACTCAATTGTACATGGCAGACAAAAGAGAAGCTAATACTTCCCTCTATTTTTTGACTGATGTTTTGTTGGGCTATAGCTAAACAGCACTTTAAATTGACAGTAAATTAGCGAACAATATGAGGGAGGAAAAAAGAAAAAAAAATCATGTAGGGGTTAAGATGTTTATGTGAAACAGTGATTTTCCTTTTTAAAATTAAAACGTACAAATAAGCTGGTGTCAGCGCCTAGGTGATCCTTCATTTCCACCGCATTGAGCAGGCTCCCATCAGCAGCAGACAGCCGCTAATGTATGCGTCTGGCTCAGTCTGCTCTACCAACTAGGAACCCATCGAATTGTTAATATCAGTCCTTTTTTGTATGCACCACACATCTTTTTCACTCTCTCTCTCTCTCTCTTCCTCCCCCTTTGCAAGAGCTTGTGTTTTTGTTTTTTGTTTTTGTTGTAGCACAAGCTGATTACTCTGAAATCACTTATTAAAGAGCATTTAAATGCTTTTTGCACTGAAACAACATCAAGTTGTATAGAAATATATGATTCCTATATATAGAAATGTATCAAAATTCTGCACATATATCTAAGCATAGCATACTGAAGATTATGCTTTCTATTTATTTGTGCTAATAGAGACAGCTTTCATATACTGTCATTGGGTAAATGGGACTGCTTCCTGCATGGTCTCTGTAGGTGTTGTCACATAGTTCCAGGACACAGAAACACGTTGTTGATCTTGGTGGAAATTCTGCCTGAGTGAAATTCTGCCCTCCCCTCCATCCACCTCTGCCCTACCTGTGTACCTGAGGCTGGGCTGGCTGTTCTGAGACTGGGGAAGAAGAGGGAGCAGGAAAAGAGGCAGGCAGTGCACCAACTTTCCCATCACTATGGCAAGGGGCAGCAGTGAGTATGATGGGCAGAGCAGAGCCACTGGAGTCATCCCAGTTCAAGCAGGAATGCAGAGGCAGGACTGCGTATTCACGACTTTTGCTGGAGCACCAAATACGCCAGGCAGGGGTGTCTAACGATTCATTTTCTTCTCACTCTCAATGCAGGGCAGAGCATAGTTGAAATCTTCAGACTGACAGAGACAAAACGTTTCACACCACAGTTTCACCTTCATTGTACATACAGTGTTAAATGCAAAATTAATTCAGAGTGCTGAATGTGAATTATCCTCATTCAAGAAAATTTTGCTGATCGAGAAATAAATGCAATGACAATCTTTAATATGCATAGATGGGTGCATCGTACAGCTGATTAAATCTATAAGGACTTTTATTTCGATAAATACTATAAATACTATGTGTAATTTAAATTGTATTTTGACATGTATATAGCAACACACAATATAGCTTTATCTCATTATACAGCTTGAATGAACAGAATATGTGTTCACCTGATAAGTATCTTAAATAACCTGTTTTCAGTATTGAAAATTGCTACAGAATATATGTAAATTCCTAACAAAGTGCTTCATGAGGGTAGCACCTACCTGGGAGCATTTGTCTTTCCTATACACATTCAGATCTACTCTTCCAATATTGCCTAAACAGAAGTCAACGTTGAATATCACATCTGTGTTAAAAATATTACCTCTGTATCTAAATGTTTGCAAGTAGCTCTTTTGGGTGTTCTTAGCATGTGGGACTGACAGTTTATGAAGATACGAATTACATATTTACAGGAACTGTATTATCATTGTAATTGCTAAGGCAATATTTTTTATTACTATTTAAAGACTAATTATATCTTGAGCAACTTGAAAACTATGTACTGAGCATAGTTTCTGTCTCTTAAGAAAACAAGACAAGAAGAAAAAGTATTATACTAACAGATAAGAACAATTTATTTTAACAATAGTGTTGATGCTTACAATAAAACACAATTCCTCCCACACAAGTGGAAAAAATATACTGCAGCCAAAATATCACTTTTGAAATGAACAAATAGTTTAGATGCCTGATCTGTGTGAAGCCTTTGTTTCAGTGAAGTCTGATGTATCAACAAAGTCCTGCAGCATCTTGGTTAGACACAGGAAACAGAGAAAAATGACTCAGAACTAACTCACCTATAAAATATTAAGAAATAGAAATCAGATGACGTGTTTCAGATCAGATGTTTGAGACAAATAAGCAGTGTAGAATAACTCATGTGCTTGAGAATCTCCTTATGCAAAGTCAGTGAAGAACTTAACACATGAGGGACAAGCTACAGTTCACACCGGTTTTCTTTCAGAGGGTTAAAAATATAAAAAGTGATGGAGAAGTTACAAATTGAGTCTGGTGCTTGGAGCATTGTGAGTTTACTTTAAATTGAACAGGTACAAGAAATATGTTTCTGAGTGCAAAGGGATGTTAATCCTGTAGTATGATTTTTAAACCAATATTCACTTTCAGATTAAAACCGAAATTAAATGGGAGAATATTTTAAATTACAAATTTTTCACAAGAGTGACAAATTGCGACAAGAGTGTGTTCTCACTTGGACAAAGAAAAAGGATGGCAACTAAGTACAGAATACTCTTTGTTCCATGTTACAGGAAAAGCTAAGCAACAGTTTTCCTGTAGACTGAAATCATTATTCAAACAATAGAATGAATGTTTTCTAGGCCTCAGACATCAGTGTTTATGTTTCATGTTTTAAAAGCCAATTAATGCTGTAACAGTAAGGATGAATATATACTTTATGGTAATTATTTATCAGAATTGTCTACAATAATAATAATAATAGTATTAATATTATGGTTGGAAGCCTTTTATATATTTTAGTATCTGTTTTGAGTGGAGTTTTTGTTGTTTTTCTTGTTTGGAGGAGTTTTTACGTGCAAACTAACATTCAGGTTAAATTATAGTCCTAAATGTTACAAGACATCAAGTCCAGTTTTCTAAACATATAAATATGCAACATCCTAATGCTGCACAATGAGTAACAGTTGTTTGGATTATTTTTCTTTTTTTTTTTTTCTTTTTTTTTTAGGAACAGTTCTGATTCTTAACATTTAAAATAGGTATATTTTCCTTTTTACCCTTCCAGGCAAGGAAAGCTCCTTTGGTTCTCTAAATTCTGCAGAGAAACAAACACAGTCCAAAGCTGCTGGTTCCCCTCCGCCTAGGTCCCAAGAGCCTGACTTGTGATTGTTGCTAAAAAACCTCACAAGTTAGGGTCTCAGGGACTAGGAAAAGTCCGATATGGTCCAGGAGAATTCGTCTTCCAACAAACTGAATTGTTTAGTAGTCATAATCGCTGTCACCAAAACTTTAACTGCTATTGTTAAATAGAAAAAAAACCTAAACCCAAAAGAAACCCTAAAACCAATGTCCCGTCCCCACCCCCCCCAAATCAACACCACCTCCTTCCCCCCAAATAAACAAACCACAGTTTCAAGTAGGGGGCAGAAAAGATCAAATAAGCAGGCAAGACGCATACATACATTCAAACAATGTATCAGCTGACCGAACAGACTTTTCTAAGAGTATGGTCCTTAACTTTTTAAAAGAAAAAACAAAGAACACAGGATAAGAATCTTCACTGCCTTGTCTCACAAGTAGCTATGCTACTATAATGCATCAGAGGGAAGTGTCTACAAACAGGTTAAAATCTCTTTCCAGCAGATTTGTACATTAACAATGCCTGAAAGAAGGATTAAATGCTTGTTAAGGGGGTTCTAATGGAAATATTTCCTCAGTATACTTTTAGTCCTACTGTTCAGGTGGGCCCTGGGTTATAGAGTACTTTAAACCCATTCACGATACAAGGATAACCTTTGGGCGTGTATTCACTTTTTGCCTCTTCCCCACGTTCAACATTTAATCCTTCTACAGACTGCAAGAAAAAGCTTCTTCTTTTCCAATGGCAAAACTAGCCTTCACTCCATAAGCTGCAGAAAACACTGACATGCAGAGATTGTTGTCACTTGAACCAGATTACTCAAAGCACACATAACTTTCAAATACTGTCGATACAGTAAGAAGAATTGCTCGGATTTCCCAAATATTTTTGTTCTGAAGCCGAACACTTTTAATGGCACAACCACAATCCTGAATTACTTTTGCATTCATTCTCCTCCGATCTTTAGCCTTGTTTGCAGAATGAAAAAGAAAATTTCTACTTTAGGGACAGGATCCGTCGTGGCTTTTTTTTTTTTCCTCCATCATATCCCAGAGCAAAAGAAACAGCAGCCATAAAGGTCCTAGCCACTGGAGCAGAATCTGGCATAGAAAACTCAGAGCTCTTCGGGAAGCCATTCAGCTTTAAAAAGGAAAAAAAAAAGAGAAGAGGGGGGGAAGAATTAGAATCTCTGCTGGTCGAACAGGTGAACCATCCATTTACAAGAAAGCTGTACAGAGTGCTCTGCCGAAGAAAAGATTTGCCAGTGCCCCCCACCCCCACCCCTGCCCTTCACCCTCCCCTCCAGACTGATACTTCAGATTTCAGAACATTTTGGATTATTTACAATATTATTTCAGCTGATGATATAATGCAACATTATATAAGAGCCGTTTCTTTGTCACTGTGCACCATTCAATCAGTTATGCCTCAGACACAAAATAGTTAAATGAAACAATATATATATATATATGAGAGAGATATATATGTATAGCAGTCCCTAGATTTCATTCAATTTCTTTTTTTAAAGCTGATCATGATTTAACAAACAATTTTGACCACAGCTTTCAAATCAATAATTAGAATGAAAAATCTCTCCCCTCTATAAATATGACATTAACATAATTATACCACCCCCACCGCATAGACCCATCCTCTTTAGGGAATACATCTGATGCTCTGAAGATGGAAATCAGTCAGATTTTAGTTGCTCTCGAACGTACCTTTGCTTCTCACTGACTGACTGGCTTTACCTTCCATGCACACACACGATCACAGCACACACACGCACACACACACACACACATGCGCACACACACACACACACACACACTCACACACGCACAGAAAGGCACGGCAAAGCAGCGGATGCTGACTCAGAGCAGTTGTGTGTGGAGGGGGTGGTATCGGCTGGTATTTTCACTGCACTCATCATTAACATTAACTCACTCTCTAGCATCCACCCTCTCTCAGACCTGCTGGACTGCAGCATTTGCATGACGCTGTCACTCTAGCCCTTGTGGGTCAGATGTTAGAAGAAAAAAAAAAAAACCAAAAAAACCTCAAGGCTCTCATAAGGAATGCCTTCATTTCTTCCAAAGGGTCCCTCTTCTTATTTTTCCACCTTTCTACTTCCTCTGTTGCTGTGTCTCAGTTGTTTGACATCTTTCCGGAAGAAAATGTCTTGAGCTGCAATAAGCCAGTAGTCAGTCGGTCCTCCCCTCACCTCACACTCCTATTCCCACCCCCTTTTTTTCCTAATCAATAAGACAGATCTCCAAATGCAGTTGTGAAAACAGGCTCTGACACACAGACTTTCATCCTCGATCCTCTGCCTCAGGAATAGCAGGCAACCCAGGCTCACACGTGATGTAGAGAGAAATAATGCCAGTAATTCTTGAACAGTCTTAGGAGTTTATTCTACGCCTTCTTCATTTTTTCCTTTGCTTGAATAAATACCAGTGGGAAGGACACATTAGCTCTCAAAAGCTACAAGGATTCACTTCTTCAGAAAATAATGAACATTAAAAAACTAATATTAATCTTCCTCAAAATTAATGCTATCTTCCTCCCCCCTTCATTGTACTCTTTATAAGTAGGAATTGTCTCATAGCCAAAACCCTGCCAGGGTCTGAATCACCATTCACTGTGCTGAAATCGTGAGTTTCTGGGCTTCAATTGGCATTTAACTGGACTAAGCAATTTTTTTTCCTTTTTTTCTTTTCTTTTATTTTAGACTTCTTAGTTAGAATAAAATAAAAAAAAAAATAGAAACTGCTTGTATGAAAGGGAGCACTGCAAGAGAACAATGGCAATACAACCGCACCACCACACTGAGTACTGAAAATGCATGTTTGAGCCCCACTTGTGTATTTTTCTGTATGATATTTGCTCCATTTTGGTAGAGAAGTCTGAACACATACACACACACCGAATACACACACACACAGAAACTCAAGACGCGTATAGAAA